CTGGAGCAGCTTCCAGAGCCCTCCTCACGCGCTGCTTTTCCCAGGGCTGCGTTCCTCCTGCAGAACCGACCCCGCTGCACTGCTGGAGATGCCAGAGGCTGCGTTGCACAGGCAGTTTCCACTCGTCTTCCAGGAACTTAAAAAGTTTCAAAACATCTTTGGAAGGCTGAAAGATTTCATGCTTGCTCTTCAAGAATAAACTACACTTTCAGGTACACGGTTTTGGTAATTCAAAATTACAGCTTGGATGAGGGAAAAAGGAAAACTTGCCAACGCAAATGGCTTTTTATTTTGAATGAAAATATAAGGCACTGTGAAATACAATCAGATTGTAAGAAATGCCTAAACACATTGAATGAAATGCCCTATCATCTGGATACGGAAGCACCAATCTTTCAGAAGCTCTGCATGTGCTCAGTAAGCTGGATGAGGACATACCAGTGATTCCAGTTTTACTTCTGCCCTCTCCTAAGCTCTACTTCAGATAATGAAGGCATCATATTCTGCTGCTGAAAAGAGCAGAAAGAATTCCCTAGTTACAGATGACTTCTGCATATTTTATTCTTTTTTTTTTCCTTCAGCATTAGGTAATCAGGTAATTTTTAGTAGTATTTTGTATACATGGAAGCTGAGACTTAAAGCCTGCAGAACTTTTTGAAAGCATTGTATCTACAGAAGTTATTAATAGAAGAAAGTATTTTCCTAAATATTACTTTTTCCACCCAAATGATTATCTAACATGAGATAATTTGTAAATTTTTAAAACATATTTTCAAACAATATGAGAATAACATTTCCTATGGTTAGCAGATTACCAAGATGGCTAATTATCACCAACAATTTCTCATACTTAAGGATTCTTATGCCAATAAACACTTAACTCAAGAATCCCCCAAGGCCTCAGTGTCTTACAAGTGGAAACTTTCTACTCACATTGATAGAAGTATTACACTGCTTGCTAACCAAACAGTACTTCCTTCTAACACTCTTGACCTTTGTAAAATTGACACTTTTCTTTTAATGGTAGCATGATTAAGGGTCTAGTTGGAGATCTGTATTTGATGATGCTTCTAGGACAGTGCTTTAACATCTGAAAAAATCAAATAAAAGCCTCAAATGTAGCTTTAAGTAAATATAAACCATAAAATCATAAAGGTAAACAGGTGCAAGAAAATGTAGTTTTAATCCTTTCTCCTTTAAAAAAAATTAATAGGTTGTGAAATACATCCAGGAGTTCTGCCACCTCCCAAATTTACCTTCTGTAGAAGCATGCACAGACTAAATCCTGTGCATGACTGGTACTCCTAATTAGGCAGCTCCTTTTGCTAAGGTCTGCCAAAGGAAAGTAAGAAGAAACTTCGTGTAATATTATAATAGTTACATTTTCCTAGTTATCAAAACTGCAAAGGAAAAAATATCAAAGGCCCTGCAAGTGGATTGAAGCATAAAATGAAGAAAGATCTATTATGCAGTTATTTGAATTGTCATTGTTGTTGTAATAATAATATTTTACATTATGCTAATCATTGAGAATTCTCTTGATACACTCCAAGAAGTAGAAATACCTTTGGATTTTTCCATGGACAGGAATCATCAATATCTTGTGAGGAAAAACAAAATGTTCTCAAAAGAAACTTCAATCCCAGCTATTTGCAAAAGTTGTAACCACAGTTTTCTGGATTCCTGAATTTGAATATAACATAACATCAGTTTAAGTAAAGACATGCAAGACTGCTAGAAATGGTTTTCTTTGTTTTTTAATTCTAGAGGCTGAGAGGTAAAGATATTGCAACAATAAATCATTACAGTTTGCCCATTTCCTTTAAAATTCCCAACACAAGTCTACCAAAGATGCTGGTATGCTAAAAATCAGAAGTATCTCTGATTCTAATTATATTCTACCTCCTTTATGAAAATCTGAGGTGCAATAAAGCATGTAAAACCCTCCCATGCTTTTTTAGAACTGAATGAACTACCAGAATCTACTATATAAAAATTTAACATGTATTAAAATATGAAAAACTGCTTTTAAACAAAACATAGTTTAAGTAATTTTTACATAGTAACAGACACATATTTGGGATATTGCATAAATTCATGAGGAGAGGTCTCCTAAGCCTCAGACCTCCCCGCTCCCCACACTGGCTACTGAATTTCTGCAGGGTTACATCCTGCCTGCAGAGACAAGTACACTCCAAAATTCCAACTGCAGAAATCAGTGAGTGAAGTTTTAATTAGTTCCTCATTTATCCGCTTGTGTCCCATACCTTGAAACTTCATCATAAAATTCTTCAAAGCTACCTGGTGTGAAAACACTTGACTCCACATTTAGTATTACTGAAGAGCTCTTGATCTCAGGATTACTGACAACCGATTTTTACAAACACCAGCCATGACAAAACTATCTTTTCAGTATCTGACACAATTTACAGAAAGCCAAGGCAAAACAAAATTACCTGCCCCAGTCATCTTTCCTTCACTGCCATGAGAAGCTCCACACCAAGATTAATAAATAGGTTTATTTCTAATAAGCTTAAGAACAAAATAAACAACTGAGTTCAATCATGCTTCTCAGGGAGCTGCATCACACATTTGCACATCACATCCTACCATTGTAAGAGCTTCACGGGCTCTAATTTCTCCCACAAGAACTTCCACACTTCTTCCTCGGTAAAAGACATACAAGATGTTGCATGTGCAACAAAGACATGAAAGGGATCCCCACTATCAGTATTTAAAATACTGAACATTTGAATTGATCACCTAAAGACTTTCTTGGCTGGGGCTGGGAAACATCCTCCCAGTGAAGTCTTAAATTTCTAATGAAACAGACATGCTTTATATTATGCAGTGTGGAAGACACTTAGGGAAAAGTTCAGTTCCTAGAACGGCTAGAAAGCTATTTTGGACAGTTCAGCACTTTATTTAAGCAGATACAGAAGTGTGTCTTTTATCTCTTCTCCCAAGCCTTACTTAAGTAGGCAACAAGCTTGTTGAGCTTCACGTCCTTGGTGGGGTTAATCTTCAATCTGTATCTTCTGCTACAGTGGCGTGATCCAAGCCATTGCAAGAGAAACTGTCTTTTAGATCACAGAATGCTGAGCTGGAAGGGACCAGGGCTTATCTGGTCTGACACCCCTTCTCAAGCAGGCTCATCCCAAGACACATGGCACAGGATTGCATCCAGATGGCTTTTGAATTATCCTCACTGAGGGAGACTCCACAGCTGCTCTGGGCAATCTGTTCCAGTGCTCAGTCACCTACACAGTAAAGAAATTCTTCCTCATGCTCAGGTGGAACTTTCTGCACATCAGCTTCTGCCTGTTGCCTCTTGTCCTATTGCTGGTTTCTGGCCACAAGGGCACTGCAGGCTTATGGAAGGCTTGCTCTCCAACAGGACCACCAGGTCCTTCTCAGAGAGATACTCTTGCCATGCCTACAGATACGCTATTGATCAAAAGACTAAAATCAGTCCCCTGAATCCTGAGATGTTTCCAATTCAAGATATTTCCATGTGACTGTCTTGTTAAAATTTAAACCAAAATTCAGTCAGAATGGAGATGTGCTCTATAATCAATAAAAAAAAAATAACTATATTCTCTGTGTTGTGTAATAATTTTACTGAACAAATAGCTCTAAAGATGTACTTTTCATAATTTTTATATACAAAAACTATACTAGAAGAATAAAGCTTTAAGAAATGATTTTACAGAATATGTTGCAATTAATCACGGCATAACATGTTCCCAGATACCAACACCAAACTCATAAATCAGAAGCATCTTCATGGAGCATTTGAAATGTTAACATGCTCTTCTCATCTTTGCAAATACAAACAATTTTTAAGATGCCCCACTCTTCAGCAGCACTTAGCTTTCACCCAATGCACATTACTTTACAAACAAGTACTGAAATCCTGAAGGTCTGATTTCGGGACAACATTCAGCATTGCCTCAGATGTTTATTACATGATAAATTAATTTACTAAATGGAAAGTTTCTCTTATGTAATTCTTTGGGTAACTTAAACACATTTAGTTGAGGACAACACACAAATATAAGGTATCTTCTCCAAACAATGAGTTTGTGCTAACATGCAGAGTAACAAAACTGGCGCAATTTAACTGTTGTAGCTTTTAAAGCATTTGCAAACCATAGCTAGCACATTTTCTCCTTGAATATTTGATTCAGGGGCTATAGCAGTTAAAATACAATGTTAGCATTTTCAAGGCTACATTAAATTAAAATGTAATCATACTAATAATAATTTACTTTTTTGTACCTAATTATTACATTGTAGTCACATTTCATTAAACCAAACAGATAAAGGTCAGGAAACTAATTTTGATTGATTGTGCTTTATGAATTAATTCTAATGTGTCTCTAAAAAAAAGGCCAAAGAAAACCATCCCAAATTAACCAAACTGAAAAAATCTGTCATTAATCTACCAAAAAGCCCAAACCCTTGAGTTACCAAAACATTAGCAAGAATAAAGTTTCTGAAATACACAAGTGTGATTACATTTTGAATTTCGTTATTTACTTTACTTTCACTGATGTAATGTAATTAATTTTTACATCCCTTCTTGTTTTTCTTTAGATCACAGCAGAATTCACATCTTCAAGTGTGAGTGATTACCCATGCTTACTCGAAATGGCAGACAACACAAGTTACAGAAAGCTGGACCAAGACTACAGTAGTTAAAAAATGCAAAATAAGATTAACAAATATGCCTTCTTTAGGATAATACATAAAAAGGGGTTTAGGAACTCTGTGTCAAAACTCGTTTCAGATTATGTGGTGTTTTCTCCTCCCTTCCACAGGTCTGTGAAATAAGGTGGTAAACATGTTTTATTCAATATTCAGTTCGGTAAGAGTTTAGCTGGAAAATGATTATAGTTGCATAAATATAAAACCACATGATAAAGCAAAATATTTTAATTAGTAAGCCAATCATAAATAAATTCACCTAAAATTAACAGAAGCAGCAGCTATATTCCTTCTACATTGATACTTTTATCATGTTTTAATAGTCAACTTCATTGTCTAGCCTGGGACAAAACAATTCATCATCATCGAGCACTCAACAATTCTGCACAATGAGCTAGGTCTTTTTTTAGTTACATTTTTTACATTTTCTTTACAAATGTAATAGCTATGTACATTATATATTTTATTTCTACAATTGATTTACTTTACTGAAACTCTACAACTTTCACAGGGAATTTGCTGAAGTCTTTAGCAAGTATGAACCATTCCTTTTAAAAAGAAATTCATATAAACAACCAACATACATCACTGCCCTTTGACATCTCTGTTAAGGATTTGGATCTGGAAGGGCTACTATAACAAATGTAAGAAAAAAGGCTTTACCTAATTGTACGTTTTGTTAAGAAATATCATCCCACATAGCTACATAAATTCACCAGCTTGCAATAAACAGAGCACCATACCGCTGCACAACTGGAAACGTGTACAAACCAATTTTAAAGTTCACTAGTGAAACAGCTTCATCACTCGTAGCACTTTTAGACTGAAGGAAATCTGCAAAATTCTTTTGGAAATGTATACTCCTTTAGCTGTAAAGCTTCCAAAACAGTGCTGGTCACTGTGTATTGTGAAGAACAAGCATCCACTTCTGTAACTTCCCATATGGTTCTCTTGGCCCATGCTTCTGTCTGAAGTCAGAGTTTTTCCTCTACCTCTTCCTTGGTCACTTACAAATCTGCTGCTGAATATTAAGTAGGAATTCATAATACGAGAAAGCTGCTTCTGTCCGATCCTCAATTAAATGCTGAAAAAAATCTGTTTTGGCAGGGTTCTCATCTCTGAAAGAAGAAGAGAAAATATTGAACAAAATCAAACTTTGAGCAAAAAATCCAATGCAAATTCAGAGGGATGAGTTCTAATAAATTGCTTACTGTCATTTGGAACATAAATTCAGTCCAAAGATATTACAATTGCAAATAATCCAAAGTCTAGAAAAAAACTTGAAGTTTGCAATACACTATCAAACAACAGCATCTTTTAAAGTATATAAAATGACAGAAAAGCAAGTGAAATACAGCACTTAGAATATCTTGTAGAAACACAACGAAGGAAATGTAAAAATTCTTTTGTTTTTGAAGATAACAAATATGCTGGTGGCAATGAAAACAATGCAAAAAACTACATCTCTGTTTACATGTAATCTCAATCCCCTCCCAGACTTTCTTACTTGGCAACCAAATAGAAAAGGTAACATGATAAAGTTTTTCAGTAAGAAATACATACAATTATTAAACCATCTACAGACTACTAACTTTACTTGAATCTTTTTTGTACGCATACAATAAAATTACAAAAGCTATACCAGAAACTAACCTGGTTAACACCACTGATCATAAGGACATCCACTGAGGTTTAGTACATTCATAATAAATATATGCAAGTAATTCCTACCCAAAAAATGATGACCAACTGAATTTGCACTAGATTCAAAGAAAACCTTTGTCACTAGATAGTTTTATAAACAGCACTTTATCAGCTGGGAAGGTGATATTATTCAGTTTCTTCCAAGATAGATATACTCACTTTTCATCAGTCTGAATTAGAAATTGTAAATACAAGTTGCTAGTAACAATTCAGTGCATAACAGAAATACTTACTTTATTACTTGAAGAACTGGACTTAAAGGTCTACTATCTCTAAGCCAAGATATAAAAGATCGTGTCCTTTCTGAAGAAGGTGCATCCACCTCAGGAAGCTGTGTCTGGTTGAAGGTAATTGAAAGAAACCATCACCTTTTATTATTGAAACTCTTTAAAAAAACAGATCCTGAAAGCTGTAACATAACTCAAGCCACAATCTCCGTTAAGAAATTGCTAACTGTGGATTTACACACACAGATGTTTTTCTTCAGCTTAAATTACAATACTTCATAATATCTGTGGTGCATTGCTGTCTAGGAAGGAGTACATCTTTAAAATTCTGTTTTAAGTGCAAAAGATTTTAGACAGCAAAGTCATCTTTCCAAAATGCTGCTTTTGCGGTCTTCTTGCCTGTATCTTCTTCTGTCAATCAAGTTTCTACACATTGCACTTTGCATCACCAAAGAAACAAGAAGTAAAATTTGAATTTTATGTAAATATCAATGGAAAGATGCTACTGGACTATTTGTCTAGGGAATAAGCTGAAAAAAACAGATTTAAAAGGGTTGAGCAATTCACTGAGCTAAATGTATCACATCTTCAGCCAATATGATACTTAAAGACAATTAACATGACCTGAAGGAATTTATTTCAGTCACAGCAGTTCCACTGCTACCTTTGCAGAATGAGGGCATAATTTAAAAGCAAAGATAATTTTATGTAATTTTTTGTCTCATTTTCATTATAATAGATGCTATATAACCATTAAAAAATTATCATACTTCCTTTATCTAAGTTCTTCCTGAGCCACCAGCTGGTCACAGCGGACAGTTCTAAATTGCTAATACATGCAAAATACAAAACTCTGAACATGCAGTCCAGTTTTATAGTAGTCTTATAGCTTACCACTCTTAACCTGTTCTTGTCACTTTGCTTCTTGATAATATGCAACTGTAAGCAGAAAATATCTAACTATGTGTTTCTATGCTATCATTTTTTGGTACTATTTGGATATTGCCATTTGATTTGGAACTTTCCTAGTGTCTTAAAAAGGTCCATCCTTGTTGATATTATGGACTCATTACTTATTGAACAGGAGACTTCTCTTTAATTGCTGCTTTGTTTCACACACTAGATTATAGGTACAGGTTATAACATAAAAACCCCTCCACCAAAACACACATCCAAGGGTCTCTGATGTTCTAACAGTTGAAAGTTTCTCTTTTTAACATTGAGTCAAGGCTTGGAAGCTGAGTAAAACTTAACTCTTACTGTTACTTTACACGTCTGTTGTGTCATACCACAGATTTGGTATCTTACACCAGATTCAGAGAACATAAGGCTTCTGAAAACTATGTTATCAATGAAGTAACTCTAATCTAATCTTAATCATTAACACACCTGAACAGATAATTTTTGTATTCATCCTGTGAAATTACTTCCAATTCTTGTGAATGCACACGTACTTCCATTAAAATAATAAAAGCAGTTATGTTACAGAGCAACTGTTTGGCATTTCACAAATGATGAAATTTACATGTTTACATTCTTTCTTTGAAAACATCTGACAACATCTATCTGGCTCCTATGAAGCTGATGAGAGGTTAGAAGGTACCTAATTAGGAAAAAACCCAACCTAACCCATAGTTACATAATTAAAAACTAAAAATGAAGAAAAAAATAGATTCAATGCACATTCCAAGTGTAAGCAGTTTACAGCTCAGCTCATTAAAATACCTACCATTTTCTGTGGCACTGATGCATAATTCGGGTACCCAAGGACGTCTTTTATGAAGTTGTTATCACAGTTTTTTCCAATCCAAAGGTAAAAAATCTGTAAGATGTCAGAATCAGTTTTAGAAAAGGCCCCGCATAACTTTTAGAGAAACAGGCAAGTGGTAATGCAATAGGAATAATCCCAGAATCAATAGTAACTTCCAAGCAAATCACTTGAGTGTTCCAGTTGCAATTCATACATACATGTCTATATTCATAAGTAAGTGTGTAAATAATCAGTACATTGGTGACACTTAGAGTAATGTAATTAAATAAAAAATATACATATATAGCTAGAATTCAAATACTGAAAGAATGAGGTTGCAGAACACATTTATAATGGAACAGTTAATGCAGTAACTTCCCATGTTATCTCCTTAAACGAAACCACTCAAATTATCTGAAGTCACACCATCCTGTTGGTTACTGCACACTGGCTTCCCAATCTAAACAAGTTGTAGCAAAGCACCAATTATCAAAGCTTATTGGAATAATTATTCCAGAGGTCTGGAGACAAAAGCTGGTTTTACATTCACAGTCAGCCCTGAAGTGATTCAAAGTTAAAAGCACCTTCTAGACTGCCACTGGAGTAGGATAATGCTTTATTCAATTGCCTGTGATTTAGTGCAATTTCCACAAATACCTTAAACTCTATCTACATATTTTGTTCAGTCTCCATATTCCTTTCATTTGCAACTCTTACGTAACACAGGCCACAAATCATAAACCCACTCTTTCTGTGTATCTGAGAATATTCCTGCATCAGGTGTTTTGTTAAATCCTCCAGTATGTGCAATTTAATAGCTATTAAAAGAAATTCTGGGAAATAAAAATACATTAATTCCATAAAAACATCTTGATGTGAACTCTTAGTATATTTTGACAAGTCTTGCATAAAAAATTCAACCTCTATAGCCTCAAAGATAGTTCTCAGATCAAAATAGGAAAGCTTTTCACTGGAACACAAATTACTGTCAGGTTACCTGGAATGCTGATTCACAACACTGCTATTGCTGAGAGTTTACTCAACTCTCAGCAATAGCAGTCTTATAGTTATTAAAACTATAGGTTTTAATAATACAGCAGGCACTGCTTTTTGGTTTTCTTTTTCTCTTTAGAATTTTTTTTAAAAAGCACGTGTCAAATTTTAACTTACCGAACCACAATCCATAAGAAAAGCTCCTTCTCTTGTCAACTTCTCTGCAGACAACTTCTGAAGGGGTGGCTGAGGAACAACTCTGTCATTTACATGTATTGTACTCTGTAAGAAAAAACAAATACTCAGTAACACTAAAATTTAACCTTAAAGGTGAAACAAAACAGGAAAAACACTGACAATCTCTAGTAAAATTCTGAGGATTCTCATAGAACAAAATACTATGTTAAGCCTAAAATGATTATGTACATCAAATGGTTCTAGAATGTTACTTATTCTAAAGGCTACTTTAATACCTAAAACATAATAATGCAAATAAATTTAAAATTACGTAACATTTTTGATGCTACAGATGTCAAAATTTCCAAATAATTACAACTGTTGACACTTAAGTTTTCTACAAACAACCTCTGTTTTTTTTCCAGTACATTCAATTTCACTAGGAATGTTGCAAGAGCAGAAAACAGTCAAATTCCCTCCCTGTAAGGAAGGGTTCCATATATTATTGTATTCAAGTCCTTGATTTAAGATCCTGCATGAAGTGATCCTTGGGTTTGTCCACAGAGTCCTATGACTGATATGGTTAAAGAATCTGGCTGTTTGGACTAACATTATTAAAAAATACCCTGCCTTTCTCCCCAGCAATAAACAAACAAAAACAACAATAAAAAGAACCCCAGGGACACAATCCCCCAGTATTTTCATATTAAAGTTGCTTCCTCCTCCAATACAAAAACAGGCCAGGTATCTCAAGAACCTCTGAAGCATTCTGCAAATAATATAGGGGGAAAATACTTTACTGACTAAACACATGCCCATGTAGTATAAGATTATTTAAAAAATTTCATATGATAATGCCATAGATTAGCAGCTTTTGGGGATTTAGACACAGTTATGCAAATCAAGCCACTAAATTCTACTTGAGGAGGTTCCAGGCTTTACTCAATACTCTCAAGAATCAAGTGTCAGGAGAAAATAAAACCAGCAAAAAACATTTAAAAGGAATTCTGTAATATTTTTTTTAAATTTAAAATTTAAAAAAATTAAAATTAAAATTTTAAATTTAGTTTTAAAACTTTTTTTAAAATTAAAATTTTACAGATATTTTAAAGAAACAAGACAGTGAAGAGCAGCCTTTGTCACAAATACTTTAAACTGAAGTAGTACTAAATGGCAGATTAGCATTCTGTTGTGATTTAAAATCTGGTTTGTCAATTAATTTCAGTAGGTAAAATAAGCCCTATTTTTGCATTATTGTACTCCAATTAACTGATCTGAAAGCCTTTGCTAATAAAACTGTATCTCCTAAAGACACTGCAGATTCTTTACAGCACAAGCACACAGGGTTTCAATTTAAGTGCCACAAAAAGAACTTCACAAGGCCAGCTGAAATTGGCGTCTCAAAGACTGGTAGGAGTGGAGCATAAAAAGAGTAACTCCACTGAAGAACACTGAGCTTAGACTCACCTATTTGAGTTTATGAAATACCTTAAAAGAAACTTTAAGATTACAAATAGCTCAGAGGTTGTGCTGAACAATACAATACTACTGCCAGTGAAACTATTCAGTTTACCATATAATCTTGTATAACTTAGAAACAAACTCCTACATAACTTTTCCAAAACTAGGGACTAAAAAACTCCTAAAATCTTACTTATAAAACCCCTTATTTTTGCCATTATAACTAACTTGGACCTTAAATAAAACCCCATCTTGCTTCTTACTATTAAAAAAAATGCATCCACTTCCTAGGCTACATCTGTAGACGATGAAATAATAAAACCTGGTTTTGTACATGAAGTACTTTCTCAGTCTGATCACAACCATCTAGAAGTAAAATTCTGTTTTATCCACTTCAATCTGAGAAACCACTGGAAGGCTGTTATTGTGATTTCTGTATATAAACCCTTGAATCATCCATCAGATCCACTACACCCATTTACCACAGACAGTTCTAAATAATAAAAACACATGGAAAATATCTCCAATACATACAATTTTCTTTACTTTCTTTGTACAATAAAAAATTAAAGCATTAGTGTCGTCATTGAAACAAGATGAAGTGAAACCACAGCTCTGCTCATACCACACTATGGTACTTGCAACTCAAAACTTTAGGGGAAATGCTCCATTTGTTTTACAATAACAACATAAAATTACTGCAGCACAACACCAAATTTAATGGGCCATTAAAACTAGGAGATACTTTACCAGGCTCCATACATTACCTCATCAGTCAACTTGTCTATTCTGTACAAATTGGGATGTATCATCTTCATCAGATGAACAAGAGGCTGGCTCTTCATCTGGCACATTGCATAGACACGATCATCCAAGCGTGTACTTGTGCCTGTTCTGAAGGCTTTCTGCAAGAGAACATCACTACTCAAACAAATCCTCTACTTTATGTCACATGTAAGAGTGCATTTTAGACTTTTACAAGTGTCAAGCAAATGTAGCAAAGCTTTTGTAAAGGAATGTATCTTATTGGCAGAATCTTAATCATAGACTTTGAGCAAGATGTTTAAAACATAATTCAGCCCCTCCTTACTGATGAAGGAGAATAAATTTCCCCCTCTGTTTGTCTAAAATTTGCATGCAACTGACCAGCATTTCTCATTTTTATTCTTGGCAAGTGACACTGGCCTGTGAAACTCACCAGTGCAAGCTAGCACAGGAAAGATATGACACAAAGCAGAGTTCAGGCAAGGGACATACGTGCACAAGATTAACTCTGAATTTATAGTAGTAAGAATTCAATGTTAAGGAAAAATTTTGGAAATGAAACATACTTTCATGTTTTATAGGAGAAACTAGACTCTCACAGGAGAATTTTTTTTTAACTCTCCTAATGAATTTTTCAGATCTCATTTAGGAGCAACAGGTATACAAGTGCTGTGGGAAGCCACACAATGAAGTAAACATCATATTCTAACTCAATGGAGAACATTCCTATAATCAAAGTTCATATTCACTTCTACGACAAAACTAAGGGCATCACTCCTTCTTTGCTGCCACAAGCATTTTGATTTTGGTTTCTCTATACCCCACATTTTATTATTGCTAATAAAGATAATAGAAAATCCAAACCTAAACAGCTTTTCCCAGCCACTCTTATTTCTGACTTTTACACAGCTCTCGATAATAAATGATCTGCCTTTTCCTCGCCATTAACTGCATTTGTCATGCAAGTATCAAAAAATCACAATCAGTGTATTAGAGACTGAAGTAATCACTAAGCCAAAGAAAATATATTATTATGCTTAGATCTCCTACAAGACTTATATAAAGGCTTATTCATCATAACAGAACCAAGAACTGTCAGACATGAAAAACTTTAAACAGTGAGATTTATTCATAACAAAACCCTGCAGGAAGCTCTCTCTTTTTAAGTATGATGTTCAGTAATCGAAACAAAGATATCATTAAAAATAATAATAAAAAAGTAATAACTACTTCTTTGTGAATTTTCAAGTGTATCAGTTGAACTATAATAAGTTTGACTGCATTTCCATGGAAACTAGTTTTTCTTGGAAATTTAAAGAACAAAAAATATGTATTAAAAAATACTTGTTTCTTCCTTCGTAAAATAAAAATGAAGAAATACTAATAAGCAGTTTCCAACAACCTTTATGGGTTACACTAATGAGCTGCCAAAATCTGAGAAATGCTGATTGTAAACTATATATTAACTGTAAAGCAACAGAAGACAGAACATAAGAAATTCAAAATCAAGTCATAAAAGGTTCAGACATTAACAATTTAAAATAAGCTACTATGGTCATCTTCTACAATAAAGTCCAGTCAGCATTAAAGATGGTAATCCAATTTCCATAATTTTAGTGAAGTGCAGACATTGGTTGGCCTAGAAGTGAAGAATTCCTCAAATGGAACAATGAACTATACATCAAACACTAATCCACTAGATCATACATACCTGTTTGAGAAGAGCCAAAATATAGAGTGGGAAAAGCTTGAGGGAATTTGGAGCTATCAGCATGGACTGCTGCAGATTTGAGGCAGTTGACATGTATGCTGCCAAGGAGTCCACCACGGCATTGACTAAGGCATCTCTTGCATCTGCAAGGCTGGATGAAACGGAGCGATCCACAGCTGGGGGTTAGAAGGAGGGAAGAAGTTACCGGACATGGCCTCACTCATTCCCTTGACCTTTGAAAATTTGAGTTGTGCTTCCAGGTTATGTTTTAAGAGTAAAAAATTCCCCAAACCACATCTGCAGTCCTAAATTTTTTAGAAGTAAATTAGATGACTGTCCTTACAGAAACTCACTTTCATAATGCTCAAAGATATAGTGTAGCTAATTTTGGCTCCATGGTTTGTACTCTTGGAGAATTAAAAAAAATTTTGAAGCAATCATACGTAGTGAAGGCTAAATATAAATTTAAACCTTATACAAACAACTTAGCTATTATTGAAATGCTGTTGCCCAACCTCCAAGATAAGATCTGTAGCAATTATTTTGATTTCCCCCCCACCCCATAAGAAATTTCTTCTATTACTTCAGTGGCATAATAGTGATTACTGTAAATGCAGCTTCATCTTTCTCTGCTGAGCAAGGGCTGCAAATCCTTTGGTTGGAGGAAGCCACCTGCTGGACTGAATGTGCATTTAAGAGGCGATCACAGAATGGTTTGGGTTGGAAGGGACCTTAAACATCATCTAGTTCCAATCCCAAAAGACAAAGAATTACAGTTTACTTCTTTTAAGTGATTTCAAGATTAATATATAATACAGCATGTGCTAAAATGCTGCACAGAGTCATACACGTTTAACGGGAGAGATCAGTCTATGAAACAGTTACTTATGATGCACAATTAAGGGATAAGTAAGAATCCTCAACCCTGCATGAACAGAAGGATGGAGAACCAGTACCTCAGATACACTGCTGTCAGAAATTCCCCTTTAGTCTCCAGCAACTCACTAAACTGAATCACTGTTTCTTAAGTAATCGTAGAATGCTAAAGTTTGAGTGAACAACAATAATGATGATACAAAAATGAGAGTTTTGATCCAAGTGTGTTATGATTCTTTGTCCTTTACTAACCACCAGAAAACAAAGTAAAAAGGCCCCTTTTAAAAGACTAAAGTCAACTAAGTATTCAGAACAAGGAGTATTTCAGTTCACAGTTTCAGTATGAATTTGGCTTTGTCATCTTTTGTACACACAGGCTCCGGTGTGTTGCATTCCAACCTTTTTTAATAATACCCAGGCTCTGTTCACTACTTAATTTAAATGGCTGGCAAAATTAGGAATATGCCAAGAAACATGTGCATCTTCCTGGCCTGTACTCACCCATGTTTGCTAAGAGGCACACAACTGCTTGTACATCTGCTCCTGCATACACATCAGACAGGGAACTCACTACGGGCAAGCAAAGTGTGTGCACTCGAATTCGACGCTCACCTAAGAGAAATGAGTGGAAATCATGATGCATTATCTCCTGGTACAATTAACAAATTCAGTCAATACAGCATCTCCTCCCATCTAAGATGCACCCATTCTAGAAAACATACCAGTTAAGAAACTGCTGCAACACTGCCTCCCTGTCTCCACCTGTTAAAATTCTACTCTAAAGCAGCACAAATTGATAACACATGCTAAAACATCCACAATAAGTATCTTTGATCCTACAATTGAAGTACACTGACATTCACCCCAAAATTTGTGGCATCTTCTACCACAGAAATTAGCTGCTATTCTTTATGTTCACCCAGTGTAGTAATTACAGCTTGATCCAATCCATCACAGCTCTGTGTGTTTGGACAAAGTGCCTGCCAAACATGTTACTGCTTGTACCAATGGCCAGACTTCTAAGTAAAAAAGTCTTGCTGGATCAGCACTACGTCAAATGCAGATGAAATTTTCACATTAAAACAGTGTTTATAAGGATTTCCACTATATGATTAACTGCCAAGTAGGCTTTACTAGCTCTGACAAGATTCTTTCAGGGTATAGAGCACAACAAAAGGCTGTGGAACTAACTTTACAAACATTACACCATGAAAAGAAACAAAAAGTCCAGTGACTAATTAATTTGAATTTATTTACCTTTACTGGAAGTATACAAAAGAGCTGTTTGAAAACAAACCAAAGATGTGTCAGTCAGACTTTCTTCTATGGACATTTGTACTGCAAATCCAGCATCAGGATTGACATTGGCAAGGGACAGTAAATCAGTAGATCGTACAAAAAAATTCCCATGGAAAGTGTGTATTGAAAGACCTAGAATCAGATTAAATAATTCAGAGTGAGGTTAAAAGAGCATGAAAAACTCTCACCAATAACTAAAACCCCAGCCCTCAAGCTACAGTTGAAGAAAACAGTAAAAATTCTATCATGTAGAACCAATTACACGAATCATTAGACATTTCAGCATGATCCTGTAGAGTTCATGTTCAATTCTGAACACTCCAAAGTGAATTATGCCCTACACTGCACATACCAACTTACAGAGAGATGGTACTATCAAATAAAAGAACCAAAAAATCAAACACCAAAAGCTAACTCAACATAAAGAAGGTAACTCTTACTCTTCAAAGAAAGAAAAATAACATTCAATTTAATGTTGCTAAAGACTAAGCACATTCAAAAAGATTGCTAACACATTTACACCAACGATTCCATACAAATCAGTATTTAAGACACACCTTTTGTACATCTTATGCGCATAACTGCTTCAAATCCAATCTTTCTTGTAAGGTATCTTTTCAGGTCTTTCTGCAACTTTTCAGCCTGAGCAGGATTATGGCTACGATGGAAAGATGGATAGTAATAGATGCATCCAGCAGAATATTTGGACATGCAAGCTGTGAAGGAAGGAGAGATACAGTTAACAAGTAAAACTGTAACGTGAAATAAGGACATAAAAATTGCGTCCAGACTTCCACAAGTCACATCTACCTTCATCTTCTCAGTGTCACCCACATAACTAAGACAATGAGAACTGTCCCAGGCGAGTGAAGATAGAAATTAATCACCCCAACACATAATGACCTAATTATACACCAAGCTCAATAAAGAGCCTACATTTGGCAGCTAAGATTGAAGTGCTTGCAGAAGTATCTAATGGTGTAGAGGTAAAATTAAGTGTATGTACAGAGAGAAATCTTGGATAATTATCAAAAGATGAAAACTCTGTTCTACCCCTATAATTAAACTTCATTTATTCCTTGCCATGTTTGTTTCCTGTTCTTGAGCAGGAATATAGCTGTCATTTAAAACTTTGAAATCTTAGAATAGATTGTCTGATACCACCAATATAATACTTCTGTTCTTTACTTCCATCAACCTCAAGGTCAATTCCTTTGCAACATGAGATGCAATAACAGAAGTGCTAAAATATTTACATGACTTAAGAATTCCTGAGATAGCCTGTGCTTCTGAAGAGAGACAACAGTGCAGAAAGAGGGAATCAGGTACTCCTTACCCAGAGAAGCTAGATCAGAATATTGTGAACTTAAGAGAAATAAATCCACAGCAGTCTGCTGGCCGGAGCAGTCCAGTGCCAACTTCTTATAAAAGTCTGTTGCTGGACCAAGATGCTGGACCACCTTTAGTAAATAAACCACACAGGGAGGAGTTATGAGAACAATCACGCTTTTTAGACTTCATGGACAAAAAGACATAGTATTCAGCAGCATCTGAGTAACTGAGTCACACATATTTGCAGCTTCTTTTGCTTGCCAAGGAAAATTATGGACCAAAGGCCAAAGACAGCACTTCAAAACAAGTAACAGCACACATGTATAAAGTAGTGATCTTAAATGCATAAACATAGACATAATTAAAATTTAGTTAATTGCTATAATTGAAGACAAAGCAATTGATCTGCAGAACTATGCAAGTCAGAAAGACATGGCCAGTCCTTAGTCCTTTGAAATGAATAGTAAGGGAAGTTTTTTACCTTTGTGCTTGACCTTTGATTTGGATCCTCTCTGGAATGCAAAAGCCCCGCTCCCAAAGACGGTAACTGAGTTTGAAACACAGAGATCCGACCACCCGTTGGAGACATCAGTTTAAATGCAGCCTGAAGAGCAGGGCCCAATGCACTGTGTGTTTCTCTTGTATTGGTGAACATATTTGGTAATGCATTCAATAGATCTTTTATCAGCTGCAGAACAGATTGAAAGGTGTTTTATGAGATTCTGCAAGCTTGAGATTTTCTGCTGTTTCCAAAAAGCTGTACTGCCACAACTGAAGTGGCAGAATCAGTACCAAATATTTCGGTTCTGTTTTAACACACTAAGGAAAACAAGTTGTAATTTTAAAAGCTATGATGTACCAATGAAACAACACGTAATACTTCCATAATGAAAAATTAGCATTGGAACTACATATTATGAAGATTAAATTTGAATTCAAAGTTTAACAGGAACATCTGTTTTGAATGTTTAACACCTTAAATTTAATGATGCATTTTGAGCAATCATACCTCTTTGCTTTCATGGAGATTTACAAGTAAACTATCTGGTGTAGGTAAGAAAATATCTGTGGAGACAATAGAAAAAAAAGCTTTATTAAAGAAAAAATAACACTAAAACAGAACAAAGCATTTCATTGCCCACTGCTATAAACACCATGAAACAGTCTACTTTTCTAATGTGTGTGTTACAACTAAATATTCCTTGCAGATAAGTAAATTATATATAGGTAAACGTGTTAAGAGTAATACAGTCCGTACAAAGCTTGTCCGATTCAAAGCAAAATTAACTATTGAATTTCACATTTTAAACATCACCTACTCTGTAGTTAGTGCAAGACTATTTTTCAAAATAATAATGAATAACATTGACCTAATACCAAATAGTTGAGAGAGTCTATCCTTTGCTCTGGGAAGAAAATAAATAATAGGTTCTCAAAAATTCAGCTTCCATTTTCTTTTTACTTACCATCAATATCTGAGACAATCAGCATCTGAGGCTGTGATAAACCTTCTTGCAAGTTGTAAAACTGAACAGTGCTGTCAAACGTTATGAACCCTATTCTTGTCCTTGAATCTCCAGGCAGCCTGAAGCATTAAAAAATAAACTATTAAGCCCTAAATCTCTCTCTCAAGACACATAGATACTCAGGGCTCTTGCTGATGTTAGAAGGAACTCATTTCATGTGTAAAGAAGTGAAGGGAGAACATAAGAAGGGAGATCTGAAACATGAATACAATCAATATTTCCTCAACATTTTCTGAAAAGCTGGGGTAATGATACAGTTTATAAGACCAAGTGTTACAGATAAGCACTCACTAATATATTGATGCTTTGTTCCACAAAAGTGCTTAATAAGTTCATTTAAACATTAGACTGACACATGAAAGAAGGCAGCCTTCTCAGTTCTTTAATAGAAAGCAGTGCATTCTGCCCTTTCCTAATTCAGAATCCCCATTTACTAATGTAGTTACAGAGTACTCACAGCTCTAAACCAAAATCCAATGTCTCTACAATGCCACATATTTATTTCTCATGTGGACCATGTATCAGTGTATGGCACAATACAAAACTAAAGACTACAGGGGATTTCTCAAGTAAAATATAAAAAACATCATGAAGTGCTGAAAACGATGACAGTGACCAACAGCAATAGAGGCAAATATTGTTGTTGAACTGGATGCAGTGATTTTCCTGTGGACTTAGCATGGGATTTTATGAATTTTCCTAAAATAATTAAGCATGTTTCTGAGATTCTGTTGACAAAATAGCCATAAAAACTGAACAAAGAAACACAACCAAAAAAGGGAAGCCAAGACTTTTAATGTTGGCTTCTTAATGAGAAAACCAAGTTCACCAAGAAAAATGTGTAGAAAGGAATTTTCAAGGCAATGCCTCCACAGGATTAGTTGTCAAAAGGCATGAACACAGTGAAGCTCATAAACTCTCACTCAAAATGCACCAGGAACAATCCCATATATGCTGTCCCAGTGCAAAAATAAAAACACAGAAATTGGCACAGGGTAACTGTGACCTAAAAAAACCAAACTGAGAACACAATTCACCCAAGGCAGTCTTACTCTCATGGTTACAACGTTCCAGTTTGCAGCACCTCAGAACATTCAGCACAAGAACCAGATAATTTAACTGCTGTAATTTATTATTTTTGTTGGTCTTAGCATGGGGGGAGAATGAAATTTAACAATCTTTGTACAATCAACATGTTAGAAGTTACAGCTAAATATTCCATGCAGATAAGTAAATTACATGCAGATATATTATATGCAGGGAAGGAATTCCAGGCAATGGAATTTCTGCCCTTTACAGACAGAATGTTTAGGCACTTTGAAATTTCCTTCAAAATTTTCAGTTACAATTTTTCATAACAATATGTTAGCTGACTTGAAAAGGTTATTTTATTCTTACTTGTCTAGGTTTTCCAGCAATGACTGGCAGAGTATTGTCAAATATCCAGCCTCCACTGCATTATGAGACACATCTAAAACAAATAAATATACCGCAGGCTGAGGAGGACGAAGCTACAAAGTAAAAAAAAAAAATAAACACACTCAAAAATCATATTCAAAGAAATGTTAAAAGTGATTAGTCATTAGAAAGGGAAGTAGGAAAAGGGAATACTTAGAAAAATGCAAGGTATACATTATGCAATAAAGGTAATTTACTAAACAATATGCAGATAGACTTAACCACAACCCCCAGTGGTTAATAACTGTCATTTGTAATAAACATAAAATGTTATACTTCAGGGGTAAAAAAGGATATTTTAGTCCCTCCTTCCAACAGTCAATCAAATGATGAAAGATACCAACTTCCATCTTTGTAAATTCCTTTGTTCTTTCAGTACATGGACAATGTGATCCATGAAACAGGGTTAGAGCATTCTACCTACACCCTTCCCCCAATTATGTACCAAGCTGTTTATTCACTGTAAAATGTCAGCCACAATGTTTCAATTCAAAGACAAGAGAACAATTTATTTTTGCTGCTGCTAATAATGTCATTATGAAGTAGGCCTTTTCCCAGGCAGACAAGACCATCATCCCAGCAATGGTAAGCTGACTCCTAATAAGAACCATTTCTTCACAATTACTAACTAGAAATTTGGGGCTGAATTAATTTTCTCATTATTCTATTACTGGTCTTGCAAAGCATCCTCAAAATGAGGGAGAAAGGCAGAAATCACACTGCATCAGATTCAAATCTGACTGTGCCACATTAAACTACACTGAAGGAGAACACCCATTGAATTACTTTCAACTCAAAAGCTTCTGACTGTTTACATCAGCCAAACCTCAAAATATGAATTTAACTATTCCTTGGTGTTAAGAGGAGCTTCACAGAAAAATTATTACACACCACGGGATCAATATAAAACATTAATTTCAAGCACTATTATGTTATGCAATTGCTGTTAAAGTTACTATGAAAACTTTTTCTTACCATGTAGTCTGAAGAAGCAATGAATTCCACTGTAGAATTTTGCACCTCTGGCCGTTTGTGAGGCTCACCATAAGACCGTGTCAGAGGATTATACATAAATTCTTCAGGAACTATTAAAAAAAATTCCCCCCCCCGCCAAATACAGATTATATTTTTTGTCAGGAAATAAAAACCATTGCAGCTAAATGCAAAGTAATGTGAGCACACGTCCATTATTGCAATAGCAAAGAATTTACATTAAGGATACATAAAAAAGGAACACTTCAAATATCTCAAGCATATCTTTAACATCAAAGTTCAGTAACTGGAAAGAAAATTTATATATTTTAAACAACAACAGATCCCCAACTACAAAACAGCAATACAAGTAGAGCATTTCACAACAAAGCAGCAATCTGTACTGTTTCTCATAACCTCTGGCCTGGACTGTAGCTGTCATCATGTTTCCATCTGCATATTGCAACAGCAGTCAGTGGGATTAGCTGATTTCATTAGACAAAGAATCAGCATATTATGAATACATTTTCTTCATGTCCACAAAGATTGCAAAACAATCTTTTGATTCAAGAAAAAGCACAACACATCTGCCTTCAGATGCTTTTCCAATCTCTGGATCATAAGGGCATTGTCACTGTAGTTTGCCTTTTAATCTAAAATATCCCATGGACTGATACAATATAAATACTTGAAAGAGATTCTATAAATGCAAGCATCTCCTGCTACAGTCACTTACCATCATTAACTCTATAGCACAGGTTGCATTTCCACCGTCTTTGATCGATGAAAGAAACAAAAGGGTTGATGTAAGTCCTGCAGGATCTGCATCTCACTATTGTGCTTGATGTTATTACTGGCAATTGCTAAAAAGGAACAATGAAAAGCTGTCACAAAGGTATGCAATATTCTTTATAGAAATCATCTCTGTGCAGTACAGTTCACAAAAACTTTGTGAGACTTCATTTGCTGTCATCTTTCCTTTTAGCTGTTTAGTTCAATTTCACAGAGTAATTATCATGTCTATTAAAAACAATCTCCCCCTAAAACTTAAAAAAATTAACACTTAATGTCTTAATATGGTCTCAAAATCAAAGATGCAATAATATCTTAAACTACTTTAAATTACAGCTACTATTACATGGCAAAATGAATTATGAAAGGACAACTTTTGAGTGACTCTATAAGAAATACGATGGACAGCAAATCTTACACAAAACACACAATTAATAAAAAGAAGTTATACCAGACAGTTATTCATATTTTTACATAAATACTATTAAATTACATTGAGAGGAGTTGCTTAATATGAATGAATGAAGACTATGAATATAAATTGAATCTTATATTGTGTTTATGTTCTACTGATAGCAAGTATCAGACCAGTCACACATTCAAACCAAGCACCTCTCTTCAGGAGAGCTCTGTGAACACCTTTTCAGGACGTATCTGACAGTGAGCCCAACACCCAGAGTGACAATTCTTCAGAGAACCACAGGCAAGCAGAGACTTCCAACAACAACAAAAAAAACCTTGAAGGGCTTCTCCCTTCATTCCAATGAAGTAGCAATTTCAAGGTTTTTTTGCTCTCCTCCTCCCTAAGTCATTGACAATTTTTTTGTACTTCTGTTAAACTTAGGACTTAGAGTTCATTATATTTCATTGTTTGAATGAAAATAGAACAAATGCATATATAAAACAAATACACACAAAAAAAGTAAGGTACTTTACCGTCAGGTCCCTAAAGGGATGCAGCAACAAACCCAAAGGAAGTTTAGCTTTGTTTAACAAAGCCTGTGTCTGTGGAATATTTGTCAATGTACATCGAAACGAGCTGAAAGAAATAGAAACATCATGTTAAAAATGAAATTTTGAAAGATGTTAAAACATTGTGTTAACACTTCATTTTAAAGAACTTAGGAATTTAAGAAATCTTATGTTTTACAAAGGTGATTTAATTTCAAAAAAGCAAAACTTTTTAAAAAGGCTTTTTAAAGAAACAATTAAAAAAATACTCCCCTGTTCCACAGTTTAGTAGTTCAGCAATGCAAGTATACCAAAACCAACTTGCAATTAAGAGACAGAACTGTTTCAGATAGAACACTCAATGAAAACTATGTATTTTTCTGTTCATTATAAAGATATTGAAAGTGAACTAAGAGAGTATTTAACTAGTACTCAGAATGCCGCATTTATAAAAGAAAACAGTAGGAAAGGATCCCAAATACTGTGAGAGTCAAAACCTTTTGTTCTGTGTAACATGAAGGGACACTAAAAAAGCCCAGTGCACAAATAGTGCTGTCAAAGTGTTCCCCATGTAAGAATGATTTCCAGGCCTTCAGTTTTCTGATTTCTGTTGTCTGGTGGGACCATGCACTGTCACTACAGGAATAAGGATGCTGAGTCACTTTGAAGCAATGAAGAATACCTATTTTGGAATTACAAATAAAATCTTTGGGGAAAAGCACTTTCCACTGTACTTAGCTGCACTTGACTTGGGACAGTTGATAATACTACTTAATGTTAATTAGAGGTAAAAGGATACCTGATTGCAGAATTATCATAGTAAAATATACTCATAAATTATTAAGTGTATTCAGGCATAATCATAATACTTTTGTGGAAAAAATCCTATGCAATACTACGAAGTATTCTATGAAACATATTGTGTAACATTAAGCTGTTTATTAAAATACCTTTTTTTAAATACATAAAAAGGTGAAGATATAGAAAAATTATTAAAATACTAAGAAACTAGCTACACTCACCACATATAATATATTCTCATGGCAGGACAGTTACAATATTTTTGTAATGATTCAGAGGATAAACTTATTTTCAGTTAAAAGGGGTTTTATTAGTTCATCCCTAAGATTCAAAATTAGGAGCGAGCTGAGACACTTTTTGAAATTTTAAATAATTATTGCCCACTTAAAAAATATAAGACATTGTCCTAGACACATTAAACTTACTCTGGACTGCAGTTTAATTTCCTAAGATCAGAATTCAAATTAGGCACAGGTGCTGGAACTGAAGACACCGGTAAAATATTCCTATCATGTGTAAGGTTTACTGGTCTCAAGCTCTCTGGCTGCTGAGAATGCTGTAGACTTAATCCTCCTAAGGAAGAGGACAGCTGGTTCACACCTGGATATTGCTGTAAAGTTAAGAGCATGACAGACAGGTAAACACACAAACACGTTTAAATAACAACCTTCAATCTTCTTGTAGTGCCCTTCCTTCCAGACTAGTATTAAAAAAAACCCAAAAAGATACAGCAGCAATTAGTAACAAATCCAAAGAAACTGCAGAAATTTAAAAATGCTACAACAAATGTGACACACCTTCCAAATTTAATGCTTCAGATCACAGCCTATAGCAATGCCCTGATATATGCTGATCACGTACTTCCTTATGCTTCTTCATTGTTTCCGATCAATAAAGTTCAGCCCTTTCAAACATCAAACCTTAAGAGTGTGGAGCTTGCTAATAACTGGTGAAGCAAACTTGTTAAGGCTAACTAGTTGGAGGTACACTTAAAACTTTCATCCAAAAGCCTTCCAGTAAGTTTAGAACCAGAGCTATGACATCAATATTATAGCTAATGTTTATTGTCTCAGAAACTATAAAAATATGACATATGAAAATAAAGGGGAAATATATCACACAGAAGAGGGTTTTCCCAGAAATTTACTTCATGAGGTAATTTTTAAATTAAAAATACAAGCCTGTGCATAGTGCTGAAAACCAGAATGGTGTCCTGGATTACTGGGCTGCACAGGAGTAGGTGGTGTTGCATTTTGGTAGCCTGGCTGCAGTGCTGGATATCCATAACCAAAGGGCTTAGAAGCTTTTGATGTTTGGAGGACTGATGGAGAGGGAACTGGGCTGCTAGTCACAGAACGTGTCTCTGGAAAGACAAAAGAAATGCCACAGGTATTGAATATACTTATTATTATACTTCTTAATTTAAAAGTAAACTCCTAAATGCTTCAAAACAAAATTGCCATTTTATCATTTTCCATCAAGCTATTTTTCTGCACTGAAAAAAGTAATTAAAAAGAAAGATTACTTCAAGAATTTTGACAAAGACAGTGTGTATGGAAGATGACCAGGGACTTGTGTCACTATGAAGAAAATGTTACTTTACAAAAACAGGCAGCTTGAAAAAAAAGTCATTTGAATTGAATAAAAACAGAACCACATTTTATTCCCATATATACATTTGATATAAACCACAAATGAGACAATTCATGCTTAGTCTCCCCTCCACTTCTGAAAACTGTCATAGCATGACTAGAATCATTCTATGATTACTTCATGAAAAGCCATGCCTACAGTTAGAGAATAGTTCCATTGGCTCAGCCTTATGTTTGGACAGTATTCATAAATGGTAGAGGAGAAATAAAGCATGGTCTCTTTTGAAGTTTTAACCTGATGCAAGTTTCTCTTGTATATGCCTGCAGCACAGCTTAGTTCTGCTATTTTTCAAGGTCAAACTGAAAGTAATCCACAATGGACTTAACAGCTGTAAAGAGATCAAAGTATTCTTTCAAAATGTCTACAGATGTGAGCTAAGTTTCAAAAGAATTTAAGCTTGGTGAAGTCACCTGGGAAACGTGCAAGCGAAGGAACAAAGCACTCAAGAAACCAACTGCCAAGAGACTATGTTTGTCATGAGCACTCCATAAGGAAAAAAACCACAATAAAACAATTAAAAAAAGCAACAGATTAAAAAAAACCCTAATGTTGACTCTGTAAGAAAAAAAAAGGAACAAGTTATTTTTAGAGTATGTTTTCAGGAGAACCAAATGGTTAATTATTAGGCCAGAGGGTACAGAATTTGTAGTCCTGCTAGACTCTATGTGGACAACAATACCAGCTTTCTAACTGAGAGAGATCTCACTTGAATCAGGAACCCGGCAAACTACTGTGACACTCCCAGGGGCCAGAACAAAGTAAAGGAGCCAGGAGGGTGTAGGCCCTCCAAATTAATCCAATTATTCATTTAAAATAGTGGCTAAAATACTTGGAATAGCATCTTTTCCTCTTGCTCTCAATATGACAGCTCTACAGATTTCAAGACCAAGGTGGTCAGCCAGTAGGTTCATTTAGAACCAACCTGACAGTCCTGATATTTTTAGACCTAAGAGTAAGAAAAACAACAGACATTTTCTTTAAATGAAGAAAAGTAAAAGACAATAACCTGATCCAAGCATCTCTGCAAGCTGATATTGTTGGTCTCCCAAAACCTGTGATGTGTCAGCAACTATTATCAGCTCCTAATGTCAACAACACAATCAAGCACACAGCATAATCTAGAACAAAGATGTTGCTTTCACACTTAGCATATTTTCAGCACAACCCTCAATACTACAATGGAAAGTATAACTTATGATTCAGGGAAGTTTTGTTACATGGTTATATAAACTGAACTGCAGTCTTAAAACGACGAGAAATTATTTTAAAAGACATGTATGTTTCCTCTGATTATTTCCCCTGTTCCTTTCATAGGCACTGCCTTTAATCTACTTGTTAATTAACAATAAACAACCCCAGAAACAATAAAAACCCACATTTATGTACTTGAATAAATAATTCAAAACAAACTCTTACCTGGATAGCCACCTCCTTCCAGAGCATCATAATTGTTCAGAACAGGAGAGGCACTGCTTGTAGTAGAGGAACTATCAAGTGCTGGGGGAGGAAAATAGTTTAACTTTAGAGATATCAGAAATAGCAAACTTTTGATAAATAAAAGACTGATATATTTTTTTCTAAAACCTTTGATAAGAAACTGTCAAGAAAGATCCTGGGAAAAAACCCCACCACTTCAGCCCTAAGACTTGAAAATTATTGCCACTGTAAAGAGGAGAGGGAGGAAATATAATCAGCAAGATATCAGAAACAAACAAGCACATGCCCAACAAACAGCAAGAGAGATCAATGGCAAAAAGACAAAAACAATGAAAAAAGTTGTTTCTTGAAATAAAAAATATTTTTATATTAAACCAAAAGTTCTTTCTAGACTATATCAACTGAGGCCATGCACATTTTAAAAACAGTCCATTCACGACCTTCTTCACAACTGCAAGCAACAGAAGATTCCCATCATTTTCAGAGTGATTATCCACCTTCACGCCAAACTGACAAGGATTTAATTCTTCCCTCCTTTCTGTACCATTCTAATTCACAGCTAGCTTCCCTCAGTCTAAAGATTCTATTTTTCATTATCATTGACAAGATTCTGAACTTCAGTTGGTATAAACAATTACTCTTGGCTCAGCCTGAAGCAGCTAAGTAAAAAGTAACTATGTAAAATTAAGTACCAGAAGTTAACTAGGCAGATGTAAAAAAGCACAATGAGCAGATGCATAGCTGCTATGACTGAAGAGACTTGACTGCTTAATTTTTAGTTCAACCTATGCACAGATCTTGAATATCTTATTGTAAAACACCTGGCAAGCAAAGAATTATTTTAAAACATCTCTTCCAATGTGATTTCACATACATTTATTTCCAATAAAAAAAGGGCCAAGAAGATTAAAGGTATCTTCTCTTTAAAATGTACCAAACCATGAAGTGTGATAGGAAAAAAAAAAAAGTCTATTTAAGAATTGAGAAAAAAAAAAGAAAACTGTATATATAATTTTTGTGGCAGAAAAGAATAAAAAGATTCACTGATATTGTTCTACTCGGAAGGATCAACCAAAAACACACATCCCATTGCAAAGCTGAAAGTATTTCAAGGGAGAACTTCAATGGTGGAGTATTTGAGACTTCCAAGTGAAAAGACTTTGCATATGAAAACATAACATCACTGGCATTTGGGACACAGAAATACCATGGCACCATCCTGACAGTATAGATAATTCTTCAGCATTTTGCCTTTAAAGCATTCAACTAAGAAATAGAAAAGCTATTTTAAAAATCCATAATACTAACAATAATGTATTATTTAAATGAAAATTTAATTCTGTGATATTCACACAATCTCAGTTTTCAGATTTTCACTGTAAGTTTTCGTTTTGTTTTAAATCCTGGAGGTTACTAAATAACATAATTGCAAGAATTTTTTTTTCTGTTCTAGAAGCTGAAGGAATCAAGATTCATGACTTTTTTTACCCTGATCAGGATTAGGGCTTTTAAAGCTTTGCTAAGTCTTACTACAGAAAAGTCAAAATATACTTTTGTTAGGTCAACAAAAAGTTGAGAAGTAACACAAACACAAGCAACCAGATTTCCAGTACCTATTCTTCATAAAACCACTGTGACAGTCTGAGCCAGAAATTTGTCTACTAAAATCTGTTTAGGATTTGCATTAGCTGCTGCTGACAGGGCATAAAACAAAATATGCTGCTTACTATGTAGAAAGCCTTCATATGGAACCTGGGTGCCCTTTCACTCTTTTCCATAACATGAATTTGAATGCAATGATCCCTCCAAGGCTACAGATTTTAGTGATGTACACAACTTGAGAGAGAGAGTGATGACAGGGAGTATGAACATTTGTTTAGGGAACAAAGTAAGGACAATAAGGTTACAATTGATAAAAACCCAATCAACATCATTTGGACAGAAACCTTGGCATGCAAACCCAACACAGTGTTCTTAATTGTGACTTGGATATCATCATTGGTCTGTTTCATTCTTCACAGAATTATTATGAGTACAATACACTATTTTCACAGTATTCTAGGTGATTATTTCATTATTTTAATAAAACTAGCACTGGGTTTTTTTCAGACAACATGTATCATAAAATGAAAGAAAAAGCTACAATAGTTTCCTATTCCCAATCAATACTAAAAGTTCTTTCTAGAACTTTTAGTATTGATTTGGAATAGGAAACTATTGTACTTGTATCAGCATGTACCTTGTACAATCAGCAGTACAAGGTACATGCTGATACTTCCATCTATCAACAAGGGTAGTAGTCTCATGTTTATTTCAAAAAAGCTTTTTATACTGTTACCACTCATGCAGTCAGTAAAGACTTCTTCAAGTTCCAAAAGAAAAACTGAAGAAACTAAACTGGTGAGAAACATTAAACTCACAAAACTGGGTCATTCTGACAAAACAGGCAAAATACAACCAGGTATGTAACACTTCAACCAATTAGGATAAATTGCTTCTTAAAAAAAATCAACAAACTTTTAAAGTTTTCTACAAAGCAAGCAGATTAAAACTGAACCTATGAGCCTAACCATTGAGACATACACCTTTAGAAGGAGAAAAAAATCAGCACAGATTAATTTACTGTCCTAAAAAGCACAACCTCTCAATGTTTACTACATTGATTGTACGAGTTCCTTATGCATAAAATGAGAAACAAGGTAAACAGTGTTTAATGTAATGATACAAGTGGCATTTGGTAGCTTAACCTGAACAATTATCAGTGTAATTCTACTGCTAGTTACCTTCAGTTAAAACTCACTGCAAATCAAAATACTAAAAACATGGGAGTCTTGCAAGTTGTAAATATTATTTTTTAGATTCATAAAACATCTGATATTAACATGACAAAAAAATAGCCTATTTGTTGGTCACTACTGAAGTTCTTTTTGTTTACTATACTAGTAACAGCTGGGAAATCTCAAGCTGAAGAGTCAGGGTGATGCTTTGTCTTAAAGGAAGAAAAAGTTTCAGGGGATGGAAATATGGGGAAAACCTTGAGTAGGAAGAGAACAAGATACTGGTGTAAAGCTAAAGCCAACCTGCTTCCTCATCCTCCTCATCCTCTTCCTCATCATCTGAACTTGATGACAAGGGAGCTGGTGCAGAGCTAGCTTGATTATTAACATATCCACCATACTGCATGCCTGTGAATTGGAAAGCACAAACATCAGAGTCAGACAGACAGGAAAGACGAGAAACGGAAGTCACAAATCATTGCATTAAAAGTGAGAGAAATCAGCTGTTCCAGAGAAAATCTCAGCATGCAGCAAGTTAAATCTACAACCCTAGAAGCAGTTTTTAGTGGACTAGTTCAGTAAAATATTAGTAGCACATGGAAGTTAGCAGATAATTTTATACGTGTGTATGTGCATGTGTATCAGGAAATTAAACACACAGACTTCCTACCTATCTTTTTAATACCAGTTTATCCAGTGGAGTACTTTCATAGATTAATACACAGAAATAAAGGAGTTATTTCCATATAAATTCAAATTATGTTATGAAAACATTTAGAATTAACTTTTGCTTGGCACACCTGTCTGTTTTAAGACAATAATGATTCATGTTGGAATTTTGTCAGAAATGAATGAAATATACTGCTGTTGCCACATGCAAGAGTACAAACACACATACAGAGAGCACAACACGATCTGGGAAATTAAAGCTAGGTAAACCTGAACATTTGGGTTGTCTTATGTTTACATGAGTGCCTAAATTCAGGCTCATAAGCACGTGATTACACCATGCACATCTAGTATCTGGTGACAATGCAGCAACTGTTACTGCTGTCACCTCCACAGCACAACCTATTAGGGTTTTTTTGTTGGTTTTTTTTGTTTGTTTTTTTGTTTTTTTTTTTTTTTTTGTTCACTTTTACAATATCTATTCTAAATGTATGTGAGCAATACACGAAAGCAACACAAACATACAATTTCAAAACAGAGCAAAGCATGCAGCAATGGCTTATAATTAATTTCCTCCATTACTTGTTATTGATGCATTTTCAGTATCTTCAAGAAACCTTACATTTCTCTTATGACAAGGCAGGGTTAGCAAGGATTTTAAATATGCTTTTAGTCAGGCAGTGACATCCTAAATGAATGCATGTAATCCCTGTTTCTCTCTTATCAATCTAATGGATTGCTATGGCAAGAAAATATCCTAAGTATTCAAAACTCTTCAAATATTTGGGAATTTGGGGTTCCATCCCTCTGTAGAAGTACCATGGCACCAAGGAATAGTATTCTTTATTTTAATACTATAAAGCATTACAGAAGTTATGTATAATCTGAAACCATCATGGTAATTAATGATATGCCCATCCATTACTTCAATAAACTGTATCAACGTTTATTTTATTTAAAATATGATCTATAAATGCTGTTAGTTTCATGGCTCTTTCAAAAAGGGTTAGCAAACCCAAGAGGAGCACTTTAATTTCACTTTAAAAACCCTAAGAGAATCAAGGAGAACCCAAATACTGTAAGCAAAAAGAAAACAAAGTAAAACTATATACCAATAGTCTTGAGAAAGTGAACTTTCATAGAGAGACTGGTACAAGAAAAGATGGGCATCATATTCCTTTATCTAGTGCATTAATACAGTTGTTGTACAGTTTCAATCAAATTCCTTTGTAATTCAACTAGTCACAACAATGAATGAAAAATCATCCCAAGTGCCACTGAATAGATTCCATGCTTCAGTTTTTCCATACTGGAAACACAGTTTTCCATATTGTGTACTCCATACACAAGGCTAATTTGAGTAATTCCTAGTCTCATCTTTTATAAATTTACTGGATGCACTTGGGAAGGAGAATACAAGAAAATCATCATCTGTGCAAGAACAGACTACAGCTAACAGACTAACAGACAATATCTTTTCTCAGGCCTGGGAGAGCTACTGAGGAATAAAACAGAACAACTGCATTATTGTGGAAGTGAGAAAAAAAACCCTACCTTAAAATAATTAACATGCAAGTAAAAGGGAAAAAAGTCAGGATGCCAAGAAGGGCTGCACTGTAACAGCAAGAACCAAAGTAAAAGTAGATGTGCCCAGTGTGAGAGTGTAAAGACATCATGTACAAGGATAAGAAGAAGAAGAAGAAAGAAAGGGTATCTAGTTTGAAAGTGCATGCCAATGCAAAAACTCCAAGCATGCACCCATGAGAGAAAAGGACTGGATTACTCATTACTGGCCACATGCATTATGGATGCAGGTGTTCAGAAAGAATACAGATGAAAAGAGATTGAAAAAATATTCTAGCAACATAGAAGTTTAGGAATCATGAATTATGTCGCTATGACTGCTGTGAAGACCAGGCTGGTTTGATTCTTAACAGCCTTATGAGTTTGCATAGATTTATTTTCATTGCCAACAGTACTACAGATTTCTGCCTTTGAGACTGTACTGTGCTAGTACAACTGTCCAGCCAAAAAAAACCCTCTGGAGAATAGATCTGGCTAAAAAATAACATAGTTTAAAAAGTCATTGTCAGGTGGGAAAGTCTCCCATTCTAGTTCACTGCCCAGCAATGCCAATAGAAGGCCAACACGGGAGAAAGCAATTGAGGGCAGAAATGGGTGACTGCAGACTGCAATTCCAAGTGCCATCATGTGTCTAATCATGGTTTCTGTTGTGACAACTCAGTGCTGCTTAGTATATTTTACAGATTTGATAATGGCACTAAAATCTCCCACTTTTAAAACTGCAAAAACCAATTCTGAAATAATTATTTATTTTGAATCATGTTATTCCATAAATCTGGCCTAAAATGCAACCACATAATTTAAATCATCACAGATTTCTTAGACTGGAGATTTCTAAACCCTGCAAGCAGTGTACCTGTCATATAATAACATTGCACTCAAAGACTTTATCCCACTATAATTTACAGACATCTAGACACGTAGGTGGCAGGACACTGAAGATAAATTGGGGTAACAACACATTTGCCTGTGAAGTAAACCAACTATTTAGGTATTTTAAATTCAATCACCCACACCATAAAAGCTTTTCAAACATAAAGTGCACATCTAACTATCTAACAGATAATTATGTAAGATTAAATAGGTGTCAATACATTTTAAGGTTTTTGTCCTGTTAGAAGATAGTCAAGTAAACAATTAGAATTTTTTCGTTTTTATAGGAATACCCCAAGAGGAGCCTAAAACAATGACATCCTTTTTAAAAATTAATTCCAACTGGATTTTTTCAGAATGCTTTCATGAAGACAATGGTATTCTATAATTTAAAAAAAATATTTTAAAAAATCAAGTCCATCTGATTACTGCAGCTGAAACATACGTGGAATTCTAACCCAGACAAATATTTAGTACATGTGTTCTGGTTTTTCAGTAGGTTGACTTCCACAAACAGTTACCACATTTAATTTTTGACAAAAAAGTTGTTGATAAAAAAAACAAGAACACATTATTTAGGTCAGACTCCTCAAACAAAATTAGCGAAGAGTTTGAAGCCTTCCAATGCTCATAAAACCACCATCTGAACATAGAAACTTACTGTGTGATGACATGTAAATAGATAAAATTAGATCAATAAAAACTCCTGACAACTTAACTTCATACTGCCAACATATTGCTGTTTTTTCAGCTACTTACTGCATTCACCTTCACTTAGCGGAAGCATTTGAATTTAGGGAAGTTCAAGAGGCACTGCACTGATCTCTACCTGCTGTTCCAGGTGTTCACACATTTCACAGGAATCACTTGCAGAACACACACACTGCATATCAAGGCAATCACAGTTAAAGAGCTAAAATCCTTTTTCTTATTAAAAACATGGCTTGGAATTTCCTTTGAAAAAGGAGCAACAGTTTTTTTTTTCTAGCAAACACACCTACAACACAAAGTCTATCTAGACCAAAACCAATTATAAAACTGTGCAAGAGCCACAGTTCCAAAAATTGACATAATTTCTTTAAAATGATACACTGTACATAGGACTCTACAGCAATGATTTTTTTCCTGCTGTTCCAGGTGTTCACACATTTCACAGGAATCACTTGCAGAACACACACACTGCATATCAAGGCAATCACAGTTAAAGAGCTAAAATCCTTTTTCTTATTCTTATTAAAAACATGGTTTGGAATTTCCTTTGAAAAAGGAGCAACAGTTTTTTTTTTCTAGCAAACACACCTACAACACAAAGTCTATCTAGACCAAAACCAATTATAAAACTGTGCAAGAGCCACAGTTCCAAAAATTGACATAATTTCTTTAAAATGATACACTGTACATAGGACTCTACAGCAATGATTTTTTTCCCCTCTAATATATATAGAAATGATTGACGAAAAACCTGCCATCTGCATTCTACCAGAAAAAGAAGGAAAAGGGGTAATTTAGTTATTTACATCAGAAGAATCTGTAATTTAAGAATGAAAAAATACACTGTGACAATCACACACCATGCGGTTGCCAATTATTTTGAACACTAGAGATACCACATTGTTCTGACAAAATTAATGTCTATTTCCACCCTTCAGGCAGAGTTCTTTATCCATAAGAATTTAAAATTCTGGAATTGTTAAGAGAAAACATGGCCAAAATAAAAATAAAAAATCATGCAGACAATTAGATTTGAATACTAGATACAGAAATATGTAATAATCAAGAGGCAAGTTAAAACATCAGTTTAACGTTTAACTTAACTGAAGAAGGCCCAAGAGCCAATTGATTCTTTGTCAAGATGCTGCCAACACCAGAATAGGAAGGAACTTATTCAGGTTTTCCTACAAGAATTCTTGCAGCACCTTTCCATGGGCACTCACAGCTAGGCAGTAAGAAAACAATTCTACCAGTTTGAACTTAATCCTCAAACTCACTGTTTCCACAAACAGATTTCTAGTTTGCATTCATTTTCCAATACAGACTAATTACAAGCTAATTGTAAGACCTTTCTCTAAGAAATTAAAGTAGTGAGCAGTTTTTCAGAATAAGGGAACTAAAAGAAGGTGTTTTTGAGCAAGACACATGTAAGACTGCCAACAAGACAAACAAGCCAAAGGCAACACATGGACAAAGGAAATCAAACACAAGCACTACGAGACTCTAAAACCAAGGTGACATAAAACACCACCGCTCAGGGAGCCTGATGAGATGCCAGAGATGTGCTCCAGTCAAACACAGAAAAGCACCAATAAAACTTCCAGCATTCATGTGTTCATGTGGAATACAGCAAAAGCCTGTAGTGTGACTTCCCACTCCCCTTTAATACCTTCCTGAAGGGCCAGCTCTGGTGACTGTGTAACAGATGGTGAAGATGATGGCTTTGAAGACAGGCTTGGAGCAGGTGACCTTACTGACGACATCACAGCAGAGGAAGCAGATGTTCCAACTCCAGGCTTGGTAAATGGAACATTCTGGCTCACTGAGTGCACGGGCTGTGAAGAATCAATGCCACCTGAAAACAAGAGCAGAAAGCAGGAACCCTTTGTATGTACTTGCACAGACAATTACACAGCACAAGCAATCACATTTGATTCCACAGTAACTACAAAGAACACTACAGTACTTCAAAGAGAGATGCCTTCAAACAAGTATCTATGGAAAGATCAGTTGCTGAAAAGAAAATCAATACCTACAGTGCTAAAACTCCATTATAATGAACAAATTGCTCTGACAACAGCAAAAAAAAAAAAAAAAAAAAAAGAAGCACAATGCAGTATGAGCAAGATTAAGCTGAAACTTCTTTTTGATACATCCCCACAACTTTTGTAAGTTACTGTTCCCTGAACAGTATGAATGTAAACTAGTCCACCTGAAATACACCCTTCAACATTCTTCCCATGGAAGGAAATCTTGTGCAGTAGAGCAGTACTGTGCCTCCCTTGCAGTGCTGGCACTTTGCAATATGGGTACTCAGTTATGAGACTCATATTCCAAGCAATCTGTTTCAATCAACCCAGAGTATTCCACAAAACTTCTGATGTGCTTTAGACATCTGGACTAGATATAATCTGCTTTAAAAAAAAAAGTCAGATTAATGTTTTGAGAGATTTGACATAGTCCAGCTGAAACTCCAATCAGACAAGGACAACGTAACTTCAATTAAGTTAGCTCTCAACTAAGGGTTGCTCTTTGCTTATAAATTGAGAAAATCTGTATTATGATTCTTTCTAAAAAACCCTGACTGACCAAGATGTTAAAAAGAAGAGAAAGGAAATGGCTTTACCAAAAGTATTCAGTAAACAAACACAGAAATTAAGCAAGAGCAAAATTCTCCATTTGTAGAGTACTTGCTTAAGTAACCAAATCTGCTAGAGGATGCAGAGGTAATATTAACTTTGCATCTTCTGCACATACAGCTGTGCAGTTCTTACAGTCCCCGACTTTCCCTTGAATAACGGAGGTGATATCTCAAAGCACTTCATGGGCAAGTTGAGGTTTCCCTTAGAGTGTGAAGAAGAGGCGGCTTAAAATGATCCTTCTGTTTTTATTATTTACAGTCAAAATTTACAGCACACATCTTCATTATCTTTTACATACTTTTCAATTTTAAAATCTGATGTTGAGCACACACGTGGCTTTTTGCAAGTCTTATCTTGAAAGTCTAAAATTGAAATGATGTCTTTTTCCAATGAACATGCCTTTTTTTACTGTAGTGGTCTTGCTATAACCTCTGCTACTACACAGTGTCCTGCAGATTCCCCATGGAGCTTCAGAACCTGTCAGCAGGAATCTTATTACAGTAGCTTCCTCAAGCAAGATATGCAAGATGACAAGGGAAGTTCTCTGCCACATCCACATGCTCACCCAGGTTCTGCTGAGCTGTTTGTAGGGTGATGGTATTTTCCACATTGCAAGTCGTCAATATAGCCATGCTGGCAGCATCAAACACTGATGTAGAGAGTGTTAAATGCTGTAATGTCAGTGTCATGTGCTCCAAGCCAAAACCAATTTACACCTGGATTAGCTGTATGTAATACCTTCCTGCCAAGTACTAATATCTATTCTGAAGCAAAGGTTATCCAATTACCTTCAAAATTATGTGAATCCTTTAAATGCATTAAAAAAAAAAATAAATAAATACAATGTATTTTTTCTTTGTACAAAAATCCAACCTGCAAAATTGAATGCTAAACTTTATTTGGTGACTCCATAAAGGTTTTAAAAGCTGAAAGCAACCAAGGCAAAAGTAAACACTTGAACAAAATTAACATTTAAAACCACATTTCCTCACCTTCAATGTGTACTGAAGTCTTCCTTCCATGCCTCTCAACCATGAACAATTCTTGCACTAACACTAATCAAGCATAATGATCTACAGCTAAAAGGCATGTTACAGAAAGAATCTGCAGAACTGGGCAAGTTAGCATTGTAATTAATAATTTTTCCCTATACATCATCACGAAGTTGTAATTTAATTTCTAACTGGAGACCTAGAGGTCATAGTTAAAAAGTATCATCACAGCATCTCCTCAGAATATCAGAAGATATGTGAGAATTATCCTTCTTGAGTTGCTTCAGCTGTGGTATTGATTTCCTGCCCTCACAACCCCACACACCCCCTGCACCCAACACAACACAATTTCTAAGGAGAGAGGCACCACCTCCCTGCAGCCTGTTTTCTAACAGCATCCTCCGCCCCTGACTTTCAATACTGGCTGCAGACTTCCCCTTTTTCCAACCACACCTATATTAGCAGATTTACAGGATTACAGCCTCCATTCCTATGGAACTGGGGCAGCAAGGATTTTACATCCTGATCTGACATAAGGGGAAGTATGCGCGTGAGATAATGAAATTAGAGTGTCCCCTGCTCAAGCAGACTGTCCATAGCAGGACACAAAGAAACCCACGCCATATACCCACAGGAGCTCTCCAGCTCCCTCTCCTCACAGCGGAGACCAGTAAAATTCGGCATCCTGGCTGACACCCATGCTAACTTGAAAAGCATCGAGGATAATGACAGTGCTCCGATTTCAGCTGAAATGAACTGGAAAAACATTTAAGAAAGCTACTGACCTAGAAAGACAAAAAACTGAAATAATACAAAGTATGTAATTTACAGAGCATAACACTCCTGAACAGATTTTTACCAGGACTGTTCTGTCGAAATACAGATTTTAAAGATAGAAAAGGGTGATTTTGCAGAGTTAAATTACTTTAAACCTCCAAGGAGAAAAATCTTGAATTAGAGACATTTCTATTCTACTTTATTTATACTTCCTAAAGCAAAGAAAATTATTCTCACTGTCTATTATTCACCAAGAGCAGTCAACTACAAGCAAAAAAAAAAACCCTCTTAAAATAAATTTGGTTTCTTCTAGTGAAATCTTAGCAAGCTTGCTGAAAATACTTCAGCTATTTCAGAAAGGGGTTGCTAAAGTTTTAGGAAAAGACTTGCTTGCAGTTCTGTGTCCTCTGGGGCAGTTTGTTTAGCCCCAGACATACAAAAATTCAGAGGTTTGATCTTAGCAAATTCAACATGCCGGAGGCTTTGCAAGGCTATTCATAAAATTGGATGTTTAAAGAAACCAATGTAAGTTCAGTGGTGACAAATTTTTTGATTCAAGTAAAAAACAATTCAGAAATCAAACAACTTCTGAAAAACTCTCACCAGCTTAAGTTTCCTGCATAATTTCTGTTAGAACACACAGATTTTATTAATACATTATTCTTCTGCATAAAGGTTTCATTTTCATCACAGAGAGCTTTCAGTGCTGACTGTACAAAACCACTTTGGAAAAAGATGCTAAAACTGTAGCATCTGACTGACAGTCTGAAATGTGCTTATTTATAATTTAAAGATTGTAAGGGCATCTTTCACAGCACAGGGGCAATGACAGCAAACTCTTAGAGGATACTGTATCCAAGTTTCTTTACACAAACAGTCATAGAAAGCACGCTTATGAATTTCAGAAAATCTTTTTTTTCCAAGTAGTTTAGCAAAAAACTATACACAGAACAGATGGCAACTGTTTCCCATCATTGCTTCTTCCTGAAGAAATCAGGGAGGATGCAATATTCAGAAAGTTTCCTTACAACAGATCATTCATTATTTGCTTATGCTCTGTGTGTATTGTATTTAGACACATCCAAGGCTGTACAGGAATTGGCAAATAATTTTCAAAATCCAACTCCTTTTCTTAAAGGCTGAAAACAAATAGAATACTATATATAAAATTACTCCATCTGAGAATGGTAAGACTGCACTGGGAAATTTAGAAAGCATCTCAAAACCAAACCAATTATGCCAGGATCAAACGATTCCTATAATTACTTTAGAATTTTATTATTATACATTTATTTGTAATTATTTATGTATGCATTTTATTATCGGGGTGTTGTAGTAATTAGATTCTTAGCCAAAGATGTTGAATTCTAGATTAAAAGAAACCGGATATCATTAGAGGCAGTTTGTTTAGCCCCAGACATCAAAAATGGTATAAAGTGTTCAAGGTTTTATTACTAAAACCAGCTCTTCCTTCAGCATTGCTGTCAGCTGTTATGTTTATCTGCTTTTCTTAGTCAGGAAATATGGAATCATTTGTGTTCTGAAGTTGAACCAGGATTCAGGGGAAAGAGAACAAAATTATTTTGCAGATAAATCACTTCCAAAAACCTGTGCACTGTGCAATGAAGCAGAGGGCATGCTTCTATCAGCAGCTTTACAAGCCCAGGAAGAGTCTGCATGTGGTGTAACTATTGAGGCCATATACTAACTCAACCATCCCCTTAAGAGCAGTGTTGAATGGATCAAAAACCAAACTACTGCTCATACTGTTCTTCACTGTCTGGTCAGCTCCACTATTCCACCTTTGAAACACCTGCTCACTGCAAAAATAATTTGCTATGAACAAATCACTTCAAGACACCTTTACAGGAAATAAAATTAACAAGACTTGGAATAAAAAACTTCTGTAAATAAAACAGTAACAGTTTGAAAAATAAAATAAAAAAAAAGTTGTTTTCATATGCCTACTGCACATTGTGCTATTCTGGAAAGACACGTACATTCTGTCAAGTCCAGCTGTACATTCTGCACTGGATGTCAGAGTCCACTTTTATGGCCAATCCTTGAAAGAATCCATTTTTATGCACAACCATGAAATGCTGGTAACTTCAGGAGCTTTTCAAGGAGCTCCCTACAGTTCTTTTTTTTTAATGATATTTTGTTTCATGGTTTGAAAATACTGGAGAAAATTACACAGAGCAATCATCAGTACAGAATTCAAATCTACTAATATTAAATGACACTCTACATCCTAGTCTTGGGAGGGGGGAGGAAACTAATATTGAAACTAAATTCAAACTGTGGATTGAATGAGCTGCATTTAAGCTTAACTGCTTTTCCTAAAAAAAAAGCTTTACCAAACCCATATTCTTTCTTAAGTCCTTGGTCTGAGAAAATCTCAGCTATTAGGATTCCTAACACAGTTTCAATATTACACTATAATCTGAAATATCTAGCATTAAAAAGGAAACCCACAGTTATGTAACATCTGTCTTTAGTAGAGAAGGCAAGCTGCAGTCTGGCACTACTTACAAGTCAAAACTGCATGAAGTCAAAAAATTCCTAATTTAGAAAGAAAATCAGATCAAACCCTGCACAGACTATTGCTCTCTCCTCTGCAGAGCAAGGTATTTCTTTGTGAAGGTACTCCCACATCTCCAGTCTCTTCCATACTTCCTACTAAGTACTACCCCATGAACTGGTACTCAGTTTTCCTATGAAACAGAAGCTGAAAGAACTAACGAGGACTGAGTGTACCTGCCCTCAACTGGCACCTTCACAACCTTATAGCTACATCCATACTAAAACCATCAAGTTGTTGCTTGCAAAAATCAGCTGCAACTTCCTAACTCGTTCAAATGCTTATCAAAATATTAATTAAAAAGCCCCAAATGACTCAGAATCCACGTAGGGTTCCACTTTTTTCCTGAACTGGGAAAATGCACATGTGTTTATTAAGATCCTATTATTACAGAGATACCTCTTCCTGAATTATGGTGCAAATGAGTCTGTATGCCAAAGTCAGTAGTATGAATTTTATCTAACAGTAAATGTGAAGAAGAGAGAGAATAAAACAGAAAGAGAGGAGAGAAAGGGAGTGAGAAGTGATAGAATAAGACCCATCAAGAGACAAGGGGTAGACAAGAAAAATACCTCAAATCCTGCAGGCACTGCCAGGCTGAGAATGAAACATGCTCCCACACCATTGGGAACTGCCCAGTTGTACAGAATACAAGAATTAAAAGGCACAATTACATATGTGACATATTATCAAAGGAAGCAAAAAAGCAAGATTGGAGAGTATTTCAGGAACCACATACAAGAGATGACAGCAATGAGTTATACAAACCAGACAATTTTTGTGAAAGAAATTCAAGCATTCACGGTGGATGTGACTGTGTGATACAAGTGTACTGACACATCCTTAGAAGAGGCCACTGTAGAAAAAGTGAACAAATACCAACATCATGACAAACACATCCAGGAACTCACAGCTGTGGCAGACATCATATTTGTGAGTGTTCTATGCCGAGTGCAGGGGAAATGGTATCACAGAAACTTCTGAAGTGTCTTCAGACACTTCCCTGTGTCACTCCAAGTCAAGGCAGGAGAAGACAGCCCAGGCCCAGGCCTCAGAGCACACTTCTGCAGATACTGTGTGTGGGTCTGTGGGTAAAGCATGTGCTGTTCTATCACCTCAGCACCAATAAAGTTTCAGTGAATACCATGGCTGTTGGGCAGCCGACATCAGGTGTGGACAGCACATGGGGATGACACTGGACTCGTATCATGAGGTGTCTCATACCATTCAAACAGGACTAACAAACCAGCCGACATCAGGTGTGGAAGCACATGGGGATGACACTGGCCTCGTATCATGAGGTGTCTCATACCATTCAAACAGGACTAAATTCTACTGATTTTCACTGAGGTGGACAGGCCACCTACACTTAATGTGGAAAAGCAATATGTACAAATTGTATGTGTTGGATAAATAGAAAGGTAACACCACCTGGGGATCCAGACAAGGTCCTGTTAGTCCTCTTCTTCTGGTCTTCCTGGTGGCGGGGGTCCCACACAACAGAGCTCAATGGGTTAATTATGTTCAGGTGTCCATGGGAATTCCAAGCATTTCCCCTTGGATGCAGGCAGGGGAGTTTTACACTGTTTTTTACAACACTGTGGATCTCTTGCAACACTGTGGATCATGCCCACTCCTTTGGAAACTGAGTCTGGGGGCATTTTGGGGGTCTTTGATGGTTTTGGCCCCTTCCAAGACATGAAGTTGCCTCTCACGCCAGAGCACGTGAGTCAGTTATGCCCCATTAGAAGGGATGAACACTCTCAGCCTTACGTGTGACACTTGTGTAAGAAAGGACAATTGGCATGATAAAAAGTACCTGCCTGTCTTCACAAGGCCTGCTTCTTACCTGGCTGAAGATCCAGCTTGCAGCCACTTCTGGTGGGTGTTCACCCTCCCTGTCTTGCATGGACTGATTTCCCATCACACACCACACCCCCATAAACTCTCCTCCTACTCCAGGGGAAAAGTGTGCAAACCTGGCCTCAGCAAAGCACCCTGCTGCCTCCACAAATGGCTGACTCTTTTGAGTTATTACCACTAACATTTCAGTCTCTCACAGTGTCACTAAGGCAAAATTTAAAGAAACAACAACCATGACTTAGAGAAATTCTCCAGCCAGAAAAGAAAAAAGTATCTTTGTGAATAATAGACATATTTCAGGAATCACATATTCCTTCAGAACCGCATGAAAAAGTTCCCTTCTGTGGCCACTCACACAAAAACCACACAAATAAACTAAAACCATCCCCTAAATAGTGCATTTTTCTGTATCTCTCAATAGAACCAAATAGCTGCTATTGTGAGAACTGTGATAATCAAATTAGAAAAGCTACAAGAATGAGTGACAGAACTCAAAATTACATTACAGAACACCACACAGTGAACATGAACAAGCCGCCACCAAGAGCACTTATGTTACTTATGTTTCCCAGACAAATCTGGCAGTTCACTATCTTTCAATTAACACCATACCTGTATTTATTTGGTTGTTTACTTTGGGAACCGATCCGGTGAGATTCCTGCTGAGGTTGTCTTGCACAGCCTGAGCAGATGAAGCAGTTGATAATGTTGTATTATATCCCACGGGAACGTGCTGTTGAAGGGAATGAGGTACTGATGTACTCTGGCTAGAAAATGCATTTGTCTCTTTGAACTGTCCAACAGCAGGTAGACTCTGAGAGGTAAATGTCTGCCCATACACACCTCCAGCAGCCATGGGAGGATAGGAAACATTAGGATACATGGCACCAGAAACCACGGGCATAGCGTAGTGATCAGAATTAAGGGGAAATCCCTGAGATGCAACTGAAGAGCTGACAGAAGTGCTGTAGTGATTATCAAATGCTGAATATGACTGCTGAGCACTCACATGCAAGTAGGATGCAGACGATACTGCTCCTTGAACAGGTCTGTCACCAGAGCCCCCTGAATGGGGAGGAGTGTTGTTGTACAACTGATGTGACTCCTGTGCATTCAACACGTTGCTACCCACAGATGTCATAACATTTTGTGCTGGTGCTGAATAGTAACCAGGGTAGTAACTGGCTCTGTACTGATTATCCAGATGTGAAGCAGCAGCTTTATTGGGCACTTGGGAATAGTGTCCTGAAGGCGCACTGTAGTTTGGAAGATGTGAGCCATAGCCAGAGGGGAACTGCATCTGACTCTGCATAGGACCTGAAATGAAGAGAAAACATCACATGTATTAAAGGGGCATCTGCTAGTAGTGCCAACGGACTCTGCACTTGAACTAACAAACAATTGTTTTCTTCTATTTTTGAGTTTGATTCTCATCAGCAGAGAGAGAATAAACCAAGTATAATGCAAGCAAATACCCAAAGAAGTAGCAGAAAAATAGACTGCTTCCATTCTTGAAAGAGGCTTCCATGCCAAGACTGTTTGCCTCTTTAAGATTTATAGGAGGTTAATATTTAAAAAAATAGTGAGCAACCACAAGCACCAAATTGGTATTTGTAAGTGTTTGAACACAAGAGTTTGTGTTACAGAAACTGCCTGAATGTGGAAACTGAAAAGCTGCAGTCAAACCAGTACGTCAATACATAACAATATAGGTATTCTTCTTCACAAGTCTTCAACACAGTGACCAAGATAAAGAGTTGCAGGACAGTTATGTTTGTCTTGTATGTTGTTATGTATTACGCCTTCAGGAAAATGGATGTTTTTATGAAACTACAGAGTATTTGACAAGGCATGTCATTTTCATTTACTCTGTGATCTCACATCAGGTGTAAGAGATGTTGGTATCAGAGAAACTGACCTCTGGTACCACTGCAATTGGCTCTGCAACATCCGAGGTTAATTCCATGCTGGCCCAGCAAGGGTCAAACAAGGACTTGCCTGCCAGAGACCAAATGTTAACTATGCCCAAACTGATTTTCTCAGCCAACTGCTCAATGGGAAATCTTAAAGTTCTTCCCCATGCCCCATTCCTTAACCTTGTTTTTATTTTTAGTGAACCACAGATGCTTTTGAGTGGATAACTTGCTTTCTTAAAATTCCCACACCCTACTGCTTACATCACACAGAATGACTACGGTGTTATTTCCCACTCCCTGGCCAATAAAAACATAAACACAGCACTGGCCCACTCACAAATTAAATGGCAGCTGAGGTAATTATGAATAGTTGATTCTCCTGCTTAAATTTACAATGATTACAAAACTTATGCATTACTTCTCTTGTCTTGAAATTCTGAAAAATCACTGTTCTCCAAGGAACCTCCAGATGTCCTATGATTAACTTGCAAGGCAATTTTAATGATGAATTTGTTAACAGATTCCTAAAGCAAGGAACCTACTGTCCAAAACTTTTTTCTGGTAAAATTAAAAGTGCCCTTTCATAACTGACAAGAAGTTGAGCAGAAGAGAAAGGGGCTAAAAAATTGCAGAACAGTAACTTGGACTGCTGGATCAAAAGACAAACAAGCATTTGGGAGAAAAGCATAAAGAGCTCAAAAAAATTTATCTCAAGTTTTGAAGAGAGCATGTACAAGCTATGCTTCTGATTCACCTTCTTCTTGAAAAAGTGGGAGCTGCTTTACAGAGCTGTGTAGTTTTTTCTCTTTTAAAGGAAAATGATTTTGAGCTAGCAAGCCATTAACAGCTACATGAACTTTGCCAGACTTTTGACCTGCTTTTTCAAGTTTCAAAAAGCAAACCCAAAAATACAGCAATAATTTATATATGTCAAGGTTTATGGCTTTAAGCTGCTATACCACCTAAGGTGGCAAGAAAATACATTTTATTTGAAAATAAAATGTGCATCTGTTCTACTGATATATGCAGATTTAACTAACCGAGCAGGTATAACTTAGAAACTGGTTTAAGAGCACCTGACTCCTAAATGAAAGGCTGCATATCAAATAATCTACTGCAAAGTCTTCTAGTACCTAGCTCTTGTTTCAAAATACACACCATAAACAGAGATTAAATTACCTATACACGATATCAGCCTCTACATGTTAGAATGCAGAGTCCTTTTTATTCACATTTTTAAGCAGAAACATCTATAAATACACACGTAAAAACCTCATTGAGACAGACAATATCTGAAAAATTATATTGATTTCAAGCTGCAGGTCCTTTGAAAGTAAGTTTTACAATTACAGATGAAAGATTATTCTTATTATCTAAAATGAGTCTTTTGTCCATTTGATTACAAAGAATGTGAGTAGAAAGTAATTTTTGTACTGCAACTAGTAGCTAAACCTGCTGATAGTGACTAGATAACTGGACAGTTTTTAACACTGAAAATCAGAATATATCTTCAGTGCCATTTCAAAATCTGGTTAATTGCACAATCAGTCCCAATGTCTCACGTATTCCATCCTTCCAAAACATCTAACAAACATCTCAAAAAATTCCATAAGGGAGCTGAAAACCTCAGCTGCACACAGCAGGTTTATCTCTAAAACACTATCTCTTTAAAAAAAAGCAGTGCACCTCTCCTTCTACGAACAAATTAATACTTATTATATAAAGTATGCAATTATATAAAGTTACAATGTGCAAATACACAGTCATTAACAGGTGAACCCCAAAATATCCTAATTCTTTTTAAGGGACAGGGATCCACAACACAAAAAAACCCTCCAAACTCCCAGAAAAAAAATAAAAGGAGCAGTGCTATGGCTACACTGCCAGGTGAATTAGTAAGTTTTACCTGCTAATGTCACGTTTGGTTTTTATGTCCACACATTCCCTCAGCAGTATAATTCAGTCACATACCCTACCTACATGGAGTCTATGGATGCTACACCACCAAACTGCCTTTCTATCCAAATCCATCTGTGAGCTTTCCAAAACTTTACCCACCTCCAGAGAAGACTCCCACAGCCTCCTCACACATCCTTTACCCCATGGGCAGGGGCAGCACCAGTGCCCCTTGTTTACTGCTGGCAAACAAATAAGCAGATGAAGTTGGTGCTGAGCTCCCACTGCAGCTCAGCCACAGAACTGGTGCCTCCTTCAGGAGGATTCACACAGCTTCCCATTTTCACAAAATATTCAGAGGTTTCCCATCTTTCACATCTCTGTCGTTTTTGTTAAATTGACTAAAACTATCCCCAGTCTGAGGAGGGATGAAAAACAAGGCTAAACAACATAATAATGAAAAATTTGCTTCCAAAATGCCAGTAGAAATATCAATGGCAGCCTTAGAAACCAGCTGTAGACAGCACCAGACAAAACTATTCTAAAGAGTCATGGGAATTCAATACAATTATCCTCTCAGTGCTGCATTTCAATATATTAAACTGTTAGTGCTGAAGTCCTCCATCGCTACTGAAGAAATATCTCATTACATAGTTTTACCTGAAAAAGTCACATTTTATCAAATTAAAACACAGAGTACCCTAAAGGAAAACATACACCAGTGTTTTCTTTCAGCCAATACAGTAACAGCTCAATTCACATCAGGATCTTCCATACAAACTCCACTCTAATGACCTAAAATTAAATTTCAAAAACAGTGACAATCCTGTTCATGAAATTTAGTTTCTATTATACAGTACAGAACTTTCCGCTAGTCTTTTTCTATTGCTATTCCTCTCTAACTTCCTTTCCTATTTCCATAAAAAAACAAACCCCAAAACCTCAAAACCTGTGTTGTAACTTCAGATTAGTACACAGACAACAGACAGACCAAATCAAAAATTTTTGCAGTACCATTGCTGGATGTCACAAAATGAAAAATTCAGGGTTATTGACTAAAGTCATCAAAAGGAACACAAAACCCAAAGTTATGCAATGAAGATTTAAAACTGTTATTGAACAGTGTATACACTTTTCAGAATTAAAGAGAATTTTGCAGAAAATAAATGGACTATGCCCTGGTTTTACACAAGCTGTTTATACCAATATTAGCAGCAACATGGAGTTAATTAATTAAAACAACAAACAGTAACAATGGCTTTTTAAAATTATTAAGCTAAGAAGACAAAGAGAAGATAGGATGACAGCTTCCATTTGTTTCTGTAAAACACTTCCAGGTAATTCATGCTGTAGCAGCTGTACCCTGATAATGACATGTTTTTTGACTAAAAGCCATATAAACTGGCATTTTCTGAACAATTTTTACAAACCCCAGCATCACAATACTGGTTTGGATACAACTGAGGCATCAGTATCTCCTTAAAACCTAGCATTTAATTACCTTCATTTTCTTCAGTGACTGCCTCAGCATCTACTGTACAGGCATTTAAGTGCTTAGCCCTTAACTACCCCTTTGGACACAAGAAAAGCTCACAATTCTCACGTAAAATATTCTGTAGGTGCCCACCCTGCACAGAAAACATACCTGTGCAGAAAATACCATGACTACAAAAGATTTAAAGTATGAGCTAGAACTCGATGCAAATAAGAGGCCAAATTTAGATACCAAACCAATATTACACGAAGAAAATGATCATGTAGGGGTTTTGAAGAGTTAACGTGGTGTGTCAATAAAGAAGTGATTTTATAGCGCACCAATTTAAAAACGCGGAAGTGTACACCCATTACTTTCATTCATACTACAGCCAGTCTCACTACCTCTCTACCTGAAATGGGCGTCAAGATTTTCTGACTTCAAACTATTCTGCCTTTGTTTTTCAGTGACCCACATCTCACTGGTCCAATGTTGCCCGTTCAGCCCAAATCCCAAGATCCAGTTGTGTGAACGCCTACCCACCCACTACTTTTAAGTTCATACGTAGCTACACAGTGACTACTTTCGCCCCTAACACGCGATTTTCTGCCCATTCTCACGCACGGCAGCCACCATCGAGGCCTGGAGGTGCCTCGGCCTCCAGAGCCTTCCTGAAACGCCACAAAACAGGCGCCACAACACCGGGCAGATCCAAATCCGCCAGGAGACGAAGGAGCGGATACCCCCTCCCTCGCCCCTTCAGCGAAGCGGGAGAGGCTGCCCCTTCTCAAGTTCTCTCCGCACGCCGCCGCGGGGCCCGCACCCTCCCGGAGCACTCGGCGGGTCCCGCTGCCTTTCAGCGGAGCGCTCCGCGCCGTGCCGGAGCCGCGGGCCCGCGCCCGCCCCGCGGCAGGACGGCAGAGCGCGCAGGCCCCCGGCGGCTCCGCCGTGAGGCCGCGCCCCGCCCGGCGCTGCCCGGCCCGGCCGCCCGGGGGAGAGGGCACTCCGGGCCTCGCATCCCGCCGGGATTCACCTCGCCCGGTCCCGGCGGGAACGG